AAGTGGGGTGGTTCGACGTGGTCCCCCGGTACGACAGATGTGCATCCATTTTCCTCACACCTCTCTCTCTCTCTCTGTTCCGTTGATTAACGTTATCCTTCTTTTCTTGTTGGAAAAGAATAACTAACGAACATGCACTCAGAATCGCCTGAAGTTTGCGCTTATATAGCGACTCGCAAGAAGGTGCATACCTTCGATTGGGTACAAAGACCCTGCTGACAAAGAATCCCCGCAACACCGTGCAGCTATAACTGGAACATGGTTTCACCAAACTTAGCTCAGTAGTGAGTTGTGTCAGCCACAAGTGTGTCATAACTGATCTGATAAAGATTACGGTCAATGTGGTTAGGTACAGGCCACTGAATTGACAAACAGGATGATCCTGCGACCTCTGTTTGTCCCCGCAAGCATGTGGACTTGGTACTTCCGAACTGCCCCTGTTAGGATGGCAACAACCCCGGGAACGCACACACAAAGTCTTCCGGTCAAATCACACTCACTTCAGCCTAGCAACCAATATCAACCTGTTTCCGGCTGGTTCATTGATATGCATATGCAAGGAGTCACCAGTGGTGAGGCGAGTTTCACCCGGTTATTCATTCTCCTCCTCTTCTCATCTCTCTCTTTCTGTGGTCTGTCAGTCATCTTAAAATCAAGTGATAAGCAATGTCTGGTTTTGGTTGAGTTCACAGATTTTTCTACACACGAACTGACCGTTTATGGCCAACTGCATGAACACAATATTCCAATCAATTCAATTCTATTCGAATACTAAACGCTTCATTTCTGTCCTTTCATCTAAGCTGTAGAGTGGAATGTTTCAAATAGATAATGAACCCTGATTAACACGTTTCATTCAGTTGCTCACGCGTTACTACAACATTCGATTCTGTTGTTCATATAACTTTTGTCGATAGCCCCAAATACGAACCAGGAAGAAAATACGTGAACTCGCAATCATGTCAGCATCGGGAAAGATGTGATAAAGACCAGTTACCGAATGACGTTCAAATGTGGATTTCTGAAGGCAATGTATATATTGCCCTAGGATACTTATGGTCTACTGCCGGTAAAGCTACCAGGGCAGGGATTGTCTTTAAGAAGAACGAGCACTTGGATGATAAACCGTGAGTAGTCGGGCCTCGCTTCACTGGATAAGCGATTACAAGCGCTGTGGATAGGGTTTCACCAATCAGGCTATCTGTCGGCACCAAAAGATCATAATCTTTAAAATGCGTCTCAATGTTCAACATGAACTAGGCTCATCGACATTGCTCGTTTCCATACGGGCTGATCCTCACAGGTCTTTACCAGTGTTATTGGGATGTCACTTTGTACCGTGCGTTTGAAATTTTTCATGGACTCGTTCACGAAGTCAGCTGAAGGATCGTCCAAATGTAGGTCTTTCGCTCACTCGAACGGCCCAGTGAGAACAATGAATTCATCGATTCGGGTTTAATCCCTGTTTCAAAACCGCTTTGTTCGGATAATTAAATATGGTGATCATGAGAAAGCGATCTGCATAATTATGAGTAAATATTCAAGTTTCGGTTCAAGAATTGCATCCGTTTTTTGTTGCTGTGCATAGTGAAATGACCCGGGACCTTCTTGCGCTTTTTCTCCTTTCCGCCAGTTAACAACACACATCACCCCCCTCCCCCTATGTTCTGTTCTATGGCTGACGTTACCAGAAGGCAACATTCCGTTGGCAGTCACGTCATGTGTACCGGGTGTGCTTAGAACCGCCTATTAGAGTAGCATAGTAACTGTTCCAATATGTGAGGTCATAAATTTAGGACCCACGTCGCTTGGGTATTGTTAATTAGGACGGTCTACACTACATAATCAGTTCACGGAGAATGTCATATGGTTGAAACTGGACAACACACACACACTGCTGTGCACTATTCAGAAATCGCCCCCATCCCTCCCATCCCTTGTCTACGTGAGCATATTTCGCTCGTGCCGTCCAGGAAGGGTCGAGAGATCCAGATCCAGTGCATGTTCATAATCGAGACCAAACGGTTTGGGCGGGGGGGGGGTACTGAGAAAGAACAATGTGAAAATGTTACTTGAAACAATCTGGTGATGGTGGCCTTAAGTTGCGTAATAGTGGATCCTAGCCTTAGGTAAATGTGCAGCAGAGTTCTTCATTAAACTCACGTTTCGCCATTTACGAACCTTTTTCGAGGACAGGATAGCACGAAGCATAGACTGTAAAAACTGATTAGCTAATTGAAGGAGTTTCGTACAGAACTAGTGATTTGACGAGCTCCATAGGTCCATGCGAATAAAAGCCGTTGTTCCCTTGCTCTCATATTAGTTACTCATCAGTTTCAAAGCCGTTTTTGTTTACATTCTGCACTTTTGTCATTGCATACTTTTCGAATGAACTATATTCGTTTGAATGTGCACCTCATCGTGGAACCTTCTCACGAACTGATTGGGATTTTGTGGTGAGGACATTTTCTGTGTCACTGACTCCCGCATCACAGTTTCTGACCTGAACGAATGAAAAGTATGAGGGCATCAGTTTGGAAGGAGAAATTCATTTAAGTGTGGCGGGTTTTTTGCCTACGTTGCTGTTCTGTTTTTTTTCGCGTCGCATGTTTTCCCAGATGTGGGGAGCTTTTATGCCCGTGTTCCGGGTTTGAAAATGCGGCAATCACGCAACAGAGTGATTGTCTCACCGTACCCAGTTCTCCTCCAGCGTGTGTGCCTGTGTAAGGCATGGCAATTGAACGGACCTTCAGATAGAATTAAATGAACACAGTTGACATGGCAAACTGAAATTCATGGGTTGTTCACGTTCCTAAGGGGAAGTGTTCACTCTCATGCAGAATTTATCTTTCTTGCAGTAAGTTGTACTGAGTTAATTAATAATGGACGAATCGATCAAATGGGTGGTGCGCATGGTGCGACTTTTGCACACTTGCAAGAATTACCGTGCGGAATGCACTTTAGTTGAGATGTTTATGGAAGCAAACTGGCAAAATTTTGCAAATGGCTACGAATTGTGAACAAATCATGAANTTCAATGCACTATGACAAACGGCACAGTTTTATGTATGATACCATTTGTACACAGTTTGATCACACACCATCCACCGCCAAATAGCATTACCTTCCTCCCACCAATGTTTGTTACCCATAAACTGAAGTATTATGTGATTTGAATAAATGAATTATGCTTATGGTAACAAAATTGGTATGTTCAATGCTTAGGCTCATGTTGATTTTAGGGTAGCATGCATATGCGATCGACCATAGACAAACTTGTTTTAGTTGTTAGCGTTCACATCGTCCTCGGTGGAACCGCTGTGGAATGAGAATTAGGAAACCCTCGGATGCGGCCTATTTGATGGCCATTGTTTTACGGAACAGAAGGTATTTTACCGAGTGGTTCTCCGCTTCATTTTGTTCACTACTAACCCCAAGGCAGTGTGTATGGTTTATTTTATTGAATAAACACATCGATGTTTTGTTTCTGCTGGTAAGGTCACCATGGAAATGTAAGGTCGCTCACGCATTGTTTGGAATTACTGCATTCTAGAACAGTCGGTCATTACCACCTGTCAGTTTAAACAATATCCTGATTGAAATTGTGTGAACAACCGAAAGACAGCTGCGATCCTCGGGTTGAATTTTTTCAGTTAGTTACGCACAAACACGTCAACCGCGGCAGTTTGTCATCACTATAAAGTGCTCCTGTTAAATAAAAGTACGCATGTGTCCAATGGCCATCAGTCAACAGGACCTAACATTGGCTGTCAGCTGTTTAGGTGTCATTTAGTATCTAGGCAACGACCCAGCGTTTTCATAATTAAACGGTGTCGGTCATCCGGGGGATAAGCACGGAATTTTTGAGACATTTTTTTATGTTCCCGCCATAATTCGGATGTAGTCTAGTCGAATATTTCATCGTTAGGTTGCAGCTGAACAATATTATATCCTCATGAAGGGACACCATTTCTCTCAAGAAGCCGTTCCATCGTTTGATTTCATTTGCAGGAGAAAACCATCAACCGATAACACAACCCTTTTTGTGTGCTGACATCTTGTTCACTATGTGATAATGCAGATCGATTTGAAACGTCCCATTTTGCACGGCTTCTCCAGTTGAGCAGTTGGCTTATCGTGCCCCTGAACGCTGACCGTGGTCCAATAACCGATGCTGAAAATTTTGCAAACCAGTAATCTAACTCGATGTACATCTGACAAAAAGAAATCTGATCAAACGAGATCCTTAACTCACGAATGGCACACTTTTACTGGAAAGTGCATTTTTTACATAATGTAACTAATCCACGCATGAATCATTTTCAACCACTCCTAATGGCCCTACTTATTTCATTGGTTATCTTTGCCAATTCCATTTTCAGTATTGGTACCGATCGTGTTACCGTTTTTGGTCATTGTTGGAGTAGAATCTGGCCCTGCGGTGAGAAAATCGCAGCATTAGCCCTGGGCCATATTAGGGACTGACATGCCACCAAGGTATCTGATCGCATTCGTGGCAAATGAAGAAAACTTGTCTTATGGCCATAACTGGACAGTGGATAAAAACATATTCATGTGAAAATTTGATTTGCATGCATCCCAGCCTATTACAAGCGAACAAATCAATGTACTTTACGTGGTTTTCGTCCCTGGTCTGTGTGAAAGCCCTACCTAGTTTAATCGTTTTCACCGCCTCGTTCACGATGGTTTCAAGCTATGAGTGGTGGATCGGTGCATTGATCGAGTGTTTGTGCTCACACACCCCGGGCTTGTTCGGTTCCGAGGTTTGGCCCTCAGTGAGGTCGATCAATTCGCACTTCTACCGATATCCAGCGCCGGTTGAACTAGCTGCAAAGTGCTTGCAAAATGTTCAGTTCAAACTTGATCGGCTCGACTCAAGGACAAATTTAGTTGTTTAAGCAACTATCTCCCGCCAACTACTCTAGTCCGATATTCCCTGACTGTTTGCCATTATTAGTTATCTCTCACACCTTTTGCAGTGGCTAACCGACTGGCGACTACGTTTGGTCAAGGAGAAGGCACGTCTGGTTGGCACATGTGAAGAGTTACGTACCTATCTGAATACAATGTGGCGTCGTTTGGACAAACCGGTCGGTGAGCAGAAAGCATTCTTGGAGAAACACGGGGGCTACAAACCGGAGGATCTGGACGCTCTACAAGTAATGCATAACACTGATTCTCAGATTGTTAAAGGAAATGTTTTTTTCAGCATATAGCAAACCTATTGAACGAAACTGATTTGGGTATCATCCATTTGTGTCAGTGTGTGAGAGCGCTGCCTCGGGCAAACGTTTTAGGGGAATGTGGGTTACGTTGACACCACACGGCACATCGCTTGCTACTCAAAACAAGTCCAGGTTATGTCTAAGCCTGTTTCAACATGTGTAAATACATAGATTGTGATTTCAGACTTTCCGTCTGAGAATTCTCACCTGTGACAAAGACAACGAAATAGTTGGCAACCTTGTTTTGGGTAGATTCGTCATCTGGTCACTACAGTTATAAACATACAGACAAAAGGATATCATGTATACTATTTGATGATTCGAAAAACGTACGTGATTTGTTCGGTGAACAGGGCAATGAAGATGGTTGCACGTGTTCTGAAAGACTGTCTGATTGTCCACTCAGTGTGGTTTGTCGAATATGAATAAAAATGAGTAACCACTCATTGGGTTGGAATTTATCTTTTCCCTTACTTAAATATCTGCCTGAATCGAAAAAAGCAGTGATGTGAACCTGTTTGTTCACTTCTAACTTTTCGCGTTGTTTCAACTGATACCCGAACTCGTATTAGCTCAAGTCTCCCCCGGGAACTAAACAAATACACACTATTGGGATCGCTAAACTCCTGCGTTCTGAGTGTACTCACTTCATTATCCCTTTCCGTCAAGTGTACTCGGCAGGGAATCACTTTTCAAGCCAAATTGTACTGTGCTGATCACAATGTTTGATGACTTAGGCGTGTTTCTATCGCACTGATTCACCCCGGGATTTTGTCGTGAATGCGTTCATCAGCAGTGTCTAGAGGCAGCATCTCTCTCGGGGACAGGTGATGCGATGATAAACATGGTATCATCCTTCCACGCTCGAGACGGGTTGCATCCATTCAAACAAATCACGTGTGCCTGTGTGCCAAATAGACCAGACAAGGTTCATGAGAATATGATGATGCCACAGGTGCAGAAACGATGTGCGTTATTTAAATCGCTCATCACTTTTCATAAAGTTGCGTTTTTTCAAGTCTGCCTTTGATAGCTTGTGGAGACAGCACATGTAAGAGACCATGGATAATACGTTAAAATGGCTTACTTACTGTCGCTCTTTTCGAAATAAGCATGTTTTTGTCAGGAGAAGAAGCAATTTAAGTGACCTTTAGTTGTGTTTCCTCTCTTCCTCTCTCTTGAAATCACTCTTACCCGTATGCCTAAGAGACATTTTTGTTTTGAAAACGAAAGAAAGTATGATGTCTCTCTCTCTCGCTTACACAGTAATTTTTGCATCGGTTAATCGACCTCAAAGAAGACCTCTAAACGAGCGTATGTCGTTTGTTACAAATTCCGTCGTGCATTGTGCTGACGGTGTCGGCTAGTTTGACCAAACTGACTGACGGAATTGTAACTGGGGCAGAATTCTCGACCGGTATCACATCACTGGACTACGACACATGAATCCCCCTCACCCTCAAACACACACACGAACACACTCTCTTCCGTATACACAGATGTAACCGTATTTTATGGTCGTTTGCCGAGTGTCAGTGCGGTCATTTTAATCCAGATGAAAGATACGTTAGTTGTTGCGGTTTGCATATTGCATTCAACCCTTCGGACAACTTTTAACATGTGTGCAGTTCACATTTTGTGTGAATTTGCCACTTTACCGGATGTTTAAAGAACAAACTGAATAAACAGACGTTTTCAAACATATGCCAAGAATTACTCAAGCACTGATTAGAAACCTCCGGGAGACAAGCACTGATACACGAAAACGGGTTGAATAGTCCAAATGTGGTTCTCCCGGGGACACAAACTCTAACACAAGGGGTTACCCAATTTCGGCCACTAGCCACAGACCTGTTAGACTTTTTTATGTGAGCGTAACTATTAGGCTCTGCTTAATGTTACGCATAGATAGATATTGCTTCAAGGACTGAAATATGCACCTCCTCGTCACAGTTTTTCGCTACATTCACCACCACTACATTAGGTGTACAAAACTGCATGAATTTGCAGATACGTACCGTGTTCATCAAAAAATACCGTTAAAATGCATCTCCAAATAGTTAAGCTAAGTTGCAGTACTTTTTGGAGAGTACCTAGTAATGAAACTGGATCGTAATGGATCAGTAACTACAGAGACCACGCCATAGTTGGATAAAAATTTAGTAGCTGACGGCAATCCTGAGTGGACAGTCGTCGGCGAGTGAGCTTATTCCTCATGGGTTTACTAAATTCGTGATACGACTATCGGCAAAAATTATCTAGGAGCATCACTAACGAGGCTCAATAAATACAAAACTGCTGTCCGGAACTATTCGCATGTTGCTGTTTTAGGGAGTATCCGGAGTTTTGTTTCACTGGTCCGCCGTTCGCTCAGTCCTTCGCCTGCACGGGTTAATCTCTTTCTAAACATCGTATATACGAACTCAGAATTAAGGCCTCAATTGGTGCTCCAAGCTTGCTAATTCAAAAAAGGTACTCAAAGTATTTCAAAGTCGATGTCACCAGTAATTCGTCTGAGCAATCATATTTCGGCAATAGTTATTTAGAATAAACAATCAGTTGAAAAGACTCAGTCCAATGAGTTGAATTGCACCAATTTGGTTATATTTTATATTCAGTTGCGAATGGATTCCTTTACCTTAGCATATGACAAATCAATGCATTTTGTTTTACTTCAATCGTTAATTTGTTTTCAGGAGGAGGTCGATCGATGTCAGCAACTGAAGTGGGAGAAACTGGAGACCTATCTGAATCGGTTGGCAACTGAGGCTATTAAATTGGCCAAAAGTTGTTGTGTGGATGATGCAATTATTCAACTACCGGATGATCAAGATTCAAGTGATCCGGAAGTTATGGCGAATCATCTGGAAAATGTCCTCGATCAATTAACAGAGACATACTCACAGCACCGTCCGATCTACGATAGTATAGCCACGTATGAGGAATTGTGGCAAAGTTTGCAAGAAATCGAAGTACGACTAAAAGACCCGGCTATTTTTAGCAATCGAGGCGGAATACTGCTAAAAACGGAAAAGGAGAAAAAACGTCTGGTGAAAGAAGTTCAACGAGCGGAACAGGATGTGTTGAACACAATTGAACAATATGAAGCAAAAAATAACACCAAATTCCTCCTATCTGGTGGTCGAACATTCAAACAGTATGCGACCGATCGTTGGTCCTACAACAAACCCTCTCGTGAGACGTCGCGCGCGAGGAGATCCATATTTGACACAGCCAACACACGACCGAACTCGGCGACCGTGTCCAATCCGCCAGGTGCCCCCACGTGATGTAACTTTATTTTCTAACTTTTCTCCCGTGTGCATATTCCCCTTCAGCTCCGTCCCCCCACCCCCTGCTCCATCCACATCGATTGGCTCTCTATCTGTAAAAACAAGCCATTGCCGTTCATTTTTTCTGTTTCTTTCTTTCTCTTTCTCTCTCTCTCCTAAAATGTATAAACACACTCCACTTATTTTAAACAGTTTCAGTATTCATGGTTTTCGCCACGCACTCCTTCTTATCATAAATTGCCGAATGCGTCCGTAATCAGATTTGTCCGACGATACTTCACATATCACAAATCAGGTCTTGTATGAAAAAATGTCTTCTCGATATTAAATTCGCATCTGTGTTGGTCAGTCTCATTCTTTGAATTTGATAATCTTCGATTAACTATACGATTTTCATTGGTCATTCCGCTTTGACTATCCCCAGTGGCTAGAAGATGATGATGATAATGATATCTTATTCAGTGTTTATTTTGGGTTTCGAAATCGGTCACAGAGAGTGTCGTGATAGCTTTGACTTATGTTCTCATCAATTTTTCGCCGCCGCGTGTATCTGTATTGCCGTCTGTCCTCACTCTATCCATCTCTCTCTCTCTCTCTCTGTCATTTTCATCTATTCTCAACCTACCTCCCAACCCGGCGAATCCCGGCCAGTCGCCCTCCAACCACACTCGAATTTATTTTGTTTTCCATTGATTGTTTTCTTATCCCTAAGTGGTAATTGCGATTGGCTGTCTTCGGTTTTAGTCGATTTCGGAAACCGAATTGGTTTTCGCTCGAGACCACTTGACTTTGACTTTACAAGCCCCGTCATTCCTAACGTGTGTGCGCGTGTGTGTAGCCCCTGGTCACACCAACGGTGCAATATATATCCATATATACTTGCTGTAATCAGGCATTCTAATTGGCTGAAATGCGGAATGTGAGAATTGTCTGCTAAAAGGGCTACTTGAACAAACAGTTCACCTAAACAGTTCGGGTCATTTACATTTCGAAAGTGAGATTTAGCGAGTTTTCTCACATCAATGCATAGTGTCATGCAGTCATGACACACCTATCAAACAAATTTCGCACACATCAGAACGACTGGAAAACTGCAAAACGAATCTTGACAAAACGAGTGACCGTTTTTGTCTTATTTTATTCGAGCTCAAGAACAACGGATAAATATCGCTTCGCTCAGACAAACAACCCCAAGAAAATTGATTTGCATTGACGGGTGCCATTCGGTCAACATCGACAACAACAATACCGAGTCACTTTGGTCTGTGCCAAAACGTAAGAGACCGACTTTCTATCAAGGGCACTTACAGCCCCAATTACGTTTTTGGTATTAGGGTATTGAGTATAAATAAATATCAATAAATTCCCCACCCAAACAAAAAATAATGACTGGTGTTTCCTACATTCCATCCGTTACTTCACCGTGACCACACATGGACCGATAAATATCACTGGCTTTAATCCATCCTGAGCATTATTCCAGAAGTGGGTAAACAATGTAGAGCGCAGCAAAAAGCGCTATGAAATTGTGAATGTCATTTGTGTGGATGGGGGACTATGTCTTGGATGAACAATGGCCACTTATGTCAAATCGGATTATCGCAGTTTGGGAGAAGATAACATTAGAACATGAGTTAATGGAAATTTCGATGTCATCCATTGAAATGAGGTGCTTTGTGTTTATTTTGGTCCTATACTCCTTCTTACTACAAAAATATACAATATACGTCACGCGGGTTAACAGATAGTTCTAGGATATACCTAACGTGTCGGTCGATTTCTTTGAGTTGCCTCAACTAGACATAAGACAAGTTGACAAGAACAGTGCTCCTAAACAGTATGCATTGTGTTCTAACGGATTAAGCCAGTGAAATTCTTCTGTCACTTGATTTCTGTCATCTGAGTTACTGGATCGTAAAAAGAAGGTTTTCGGGATTGGAGTTCCCGGTTGTTCTTACAGAAGCACACGTTAAAACAAACCATAAAGTAGGTATTTAGATGTGACCATTGTCAGTCATGTAAACAAGCGCTGAAAATGAAATCTATTTACAGATAGTCTATTCAGCAATTACGAATATCACATCGGGCGGTTGTTTTGCTCTTCAATCAGAACGTCCAAAGAATTTTTAATTACGCGTGAACTGAAAAGCTCGGAAGCACTGGACAGCTGTTTCCACCTGGTTCGGTCTCATCAGCAATGCGAATCCATCGACCCAGGGCTTCATGGGCAGAACGCAAGCGTGCTACCCACTACCGAGCAGCTGATCGGACCGTTTTTCATTTTCCATTTACACGATATAGCACAACCCATCTTTGAAAGTTTGTTGCGGGCCACGGATCCAGCTCAACTCACATGAAATAATCAGTCAGGTTGTGAATGTTTCCAACCGAGTCATAACCCCGGAGGCTAGTGCT